CAATGGCACCTGGCCCAAATACATTTTCCATAAGATTTATCGTCACTTAGCATATGACATCCCTCTTCCACTTCATTATATGCTCTCTTGTCATCTTAAGGTCATTAGCTAAGTTCATGATTCTTGAGGACTTAACATTGAAGTTATTTGCATACATTATTTCAGAAGCATGCAACTATATTTAAAACCATTGGGACATACAACACCTTATAATCCTAATTTTGGCAAACGGTCACATTTCATGTTCATACCATCACTTTCTTGTACTTGCCCTGGGTGATCATAGGACATCAAGAACATTTAAAACATTTAGGAACACCATAGCCTCTCATCATGAGGGCGTAGGAGCTTGTAACACATTGGACACATAAGTACAAATAAGTTATCTCATAACCTTTACACCATATATCACTTCACAATTACTTTCAACTACTTACGACATCATTATTTATTTGGCTCCCTTGGCCATACATATTATTCTTCATTTATTGCACTGTGGACGTATATTATATTCCGCACTTTCATTTCTTTACTTTCAAGGATTATCATCATAAACATCATCATATAGAATACTCTTGAAATACCTCTCCCCAAAAGATCAATACACAATTTCAACTCATGAATATGTAAGAACTCAAAACATATTGGAAACACCTACCAAGCATAGCATTAGTTAGAACAACCACATTTGGACATGACTTGAGTACATAAGCTTTTGGATAATTCTATTTTCATAGTCAATTTGGAATAGTTGTATCAAGGCTCATTTCATAATACTTCACACATCATTTCATTTTATTGGCGCTATTGGCCACAAGTATAACTTTTATTTTTGGCACGGTGTCCACACTTTATATCCCAACTCACTACTTTCACTTTCAAGCATCTTTATAGATTATCGACAACACGGAATTCCTAATCACGACTTTTAGCACACCTATGAGCAATTGAGAGTCTTAAGCACATTGAGACTTCTTACACAATTTGGCATAATAGCCTTCACTTGAAACACTACTTGGAGTCATAACATTTTTATACCCAACTCATGCTTTGAACACATTCCCGAAGGATAACATCATATGATAAGAGCATCTAGAATACATTTTGAACATATACCTTTCAACACAAACCTTATTCGGAATAGTTAATTTTATAATGAATAACTCGGGACTTATAAGAACATCATGGGATACAATTCTAGGAGAAAGGTTTAGCCAACATACCTCGCTTTGAGCTTTCCTTAAATTACTACAACGTTCTAAAAATTCTAGCAATCCCAATCTATTTTGAGACATAACAAAACTGAACACAAATTAGAAAGATATTCATGGTTTCAGCTCATTTGAGCTTTTTATCAACCACTAGGTGTGCAAATTTGACTACAAGGTTCTTTTATAAGATTTTCTTCATTCCACAAGATTTATTTCACTTCACAACCCAATCTTTACCCATTTGGTCTCAACAATCTTTCCACAAACCTTATTGGTACCTATATGTATACATAATACTCTTACACCCAAGAATTATACTCCCAATCACCCATCTTTTACCCCAAACTCAAAATTGAAGACTAGGGTTAGATCTTTACCTCTTGAGTGAAGATCTTGTGAGATTTTCTTGTTGGATTTCAAAGCTTGGACAAGATCTTGATGAACAAAGCACTTGAGCTACTTCCTCTCTCTAGAACACTCTCACTTATCTCTAAAAATATCAGGGTTTTGCCTTCAAAATGAGCCCCAAAGGCTATTTATCAAAATGGGGTCGGGTTATAAATATCAAAAAATGGACCCTCCGATCTCAACTCTGCGGTCGTAGAATGGACCACATAACAGGTATGCGGTCCGTACAATGGACCACGAAATTGATGCCCAGAACTGGGCTGCACTGGTCAGGTCTGCGACCATTATGCGATCCATAGACCACTTTTGCGGTTCGCATAATGATTCTGCGATCGCGGAATTGACCGCAGAATCACATTCTGCCAGTCTTTGAGAATTTGGTCATAACTTCTTGTAGGAGTGTCCAAATGATGAACGGTTTGAAGCGTTAGAAACTAGACTCAGAGGGATTTAATTTGGTCATTATATTTTGGTAGCAGCATGCATTTAAAGTAGGATCTTGTGCGCATTGAGATATTATTTCAACTTAATGTATCCAACTTGTTCCACACAAATTCTTGCCATTCACAAAACTCCTTAGTATTTTCCAACACACCTTAAACATATATTTTTATTTCAAAATAATGTGGTTCTATCCCATGGGTCTCCTTTAATACTCGAACATGTTATTCCCAAATACCTTTGGCGCACTTTAAAATCTTAAATTATTAGGAAATTTTAGTGGGGCCTTACAGCATAGGGTAAAAATAATCCTAGAAAATTTTGTAATCGCGATCGCAAGGATTTTGACCGCGATTGCGAAGGGTACCTCTGGAACAGTGTATAAAGTACTCTATTTTGAAGGTTTTAGACATTTTAGCATATTTTGAGCTGTGGAGCTCGGATTGAGGAGATTTTTACCACATGGAATGGGGTAAGTATAATCTACTTGGTATTAATTTTATTCCGTGATTCCATCTTTGTTTATGCATTTGATTGATGATTTCAAAAGAGAAATTGGGGGGGNGAGTTTTTGGATTTTGTGAGTTTTATCGGGTTCCAAGGTGCGGACCCGAGTTTGACTTTTTGATTAACTTTGATATTTTAATTAAAGATTCGACTTTTATCGATTGGGTATGTTTCCTTTGGCATTATTTGATGTTCTTGGGTTGCTTTTGGCTAGTTTCGAGCCGTTTCGAGGTCGGTACGCAGGGGGTAGCGTTTCTAGAGTATTGTTTGGCTTCCTCGATATTGGATTCAACTTGTTCGAGGTAAGTAACATATCTAAACTTGGATTTGAGGGTATTTAACCCTGAGAACTGTGTTATAAATGATGTATTGAGGTGATGCACATGTGATGTGACGAGCGTGTCGGCGTAGACCGAGGAAATCATGATTTTAGTCGACTATTAGACTATGACCGGACTTGATTTGCTATTATATCTTGTTACATCTATGTTCTCCCTACTTGTTTGATTGTATGAGCTGTGAATTGTGTTAGAAATCATGTTTAGGCTATATGCTTATACTGTTTGAACCCACTGAGGTCATCGATTTTGTTGAGTTATTTGTTTAATTGCAATTACACACTCAGTCATATTCATTCATTTGCATACCATATCTTAGTCTCTGTTATCATTTATTGTCACATCATGTTATCATTGTTTGGGTTGATTGGCATGAGATTTGTGAGCCCGAGAGACTGGAGAAACTGATGACTGAGTTGGGGCCTAAGGGCCGGATTGTGAGATATATTTATGGGATCGGGTTGCACGCCGTAGCAGGTTTTATTGATTCATAATGAGATCGGGATGCACGCCGCAGCAGGCCATGTTGGCTTATATTAGCGGTTGGGCAGGATTCGCCCCTCCGGAGTTTGACATACCAGCAATGAGCGCAGGTACTGAGTGCCGAGTGCCGAGTGATTGAGTGTACCGAGTGATTGAGTATAAGATATTGAGATTCTTAAAGGAGTTATTACTTGTACTGCTTTTATTATATTGTTACGAGTTATTCTTGGCTATTGGTGTTGGACTCTAACCGTTGCTCGTGACTACTTTTAACCTTAGGTTAGGTTTGTTACTTATTGAGTACATGGGGTCGGTTGTACTCATACTACACTTCTGCACCTTGCGTGCAGATTTTGGAGCTAATGTTGCTGTGTATGGCGGGAACTGGCATTGAATATGTACCTGCGCTCCGGTTATAGCTGCCTCTTGTTCTTGGTAGCTTTAGATTTATAAATCTGTTTATGTATATTTCGAATAGATAATGTATTTATTTCATACCAACTTTGTAAAGTCGAAATCTTAGAAGCTCATGATTTGTAATACCAGTCCTTGAGTTGTTGTATAAAAGTTCAATTATTTCATCATTATTTTCTCAATAAATCTCATTTGAAATTGGATTATTGTTAAATTGGCTTACCTAGCAGCTTGGGTTAGGTGACATCGTGACTAGTTGAATTTTGGGTCGTGACATAAACAAGTCACTATAAAACGATATACACCAATATATTCACATACATTTATATTTTATTGTTTTATATATAATTATTTATTCAAAACTTTATTTAATTGTATTGATTTTGTTTCACAAAATCATGTATTACTTGACTTGGCATACACGTGCGAGGCACTTGTCGAGAAACTAGTTATTATAAAAGTGCAAAGCCCATATCTAATAGGGAAAAGGGCCAAATATACCCCTATACTTTCATATATTGTTTATATTTAACCTCTGTTATACTATTGGGCCAAATTTACCCTTACCGTTATACTATCGGGCCAAATTTACCCTTACAATCAGCAACCTTTTAAAAATACCCCTTGATCTATTAAGTAATCCAAAATCTCCAAAATTTCTTTTATTTAAATCACTTGTTGTTCTTCTTAGGCCTCTATTTTTGAATAATTTGTATAATCTAGTAACTTTAGTATTCACATCAATAGTAATTTTTAAAAATAATGGAGCAAGAAGAACAACAAGTGATTTAAATAAAAAAGAATTTGAGAGATTTTGGATTACTTTATAGATCAAGGGGTATTTTTAAAAGTTTGCTGATTGTAGGGGTAAATTTGGCCCGATAGTATAACGGTAGGGATAAATTTGGCCAAATAGTATAATGGAGGCTAAATATAGACAATATATAAAAAATAGAGAGGTATATTTGGCCCTTTTCCCTATCTAAAAAGATAAAAGACTTAAATGCCCTTCTAAATAATCTAATTATCCTATTTGAAAATCAAGTTAAAAATTCCAAGTTAATATGAAAAGGTGCAACTCTACATTTCTATTACTATAGAAGAGCTAAGTGTGGTCGACTAAGGGCAAATTCGATATTTTATTCAATTACAAAAATGCTTTCCTTTTCCAGTGCTTCTATCGAGAACAATCAGTTCTTTTAAAGAATGGCTTTTTGAGTTCTCTACACATTTCAGGTTAGCTTTTATGTCAATATTTGCCCAAATTTCTTCCAGTTCTCTTCCTGACTCCCGAATTTCACAACTGAAATTCATGGCTGATGTCCTCACTATTCTATCTAATTCTCTCCCCAATTTCACGGCTGATGTGAAGGTTTTTCAGTTGCCATCCTTACATAACTGCAATCTTATTTTTAATAGCTGCAGATTTATTCTCCAGATTATGTGCCCTCCCCTCGGCTAGATTCGCCTGTGTAGCCGGTGAGATTGCCATTTTTTCTTCTTCTTCTTTGTTCATTTCATTGTTTCGGTTATTATTATTTTATATTCTTGGTGACTATTTGTTGTATTGTTTTATATGGGTCATTTATATAAAACAAGATTGTTTTCTGGCAGCTCAAAATGTTAAGATGTCGTTCTCGAAAAAATTCTCAGTTTGAGTTCAATCCTATTTTATTTTATTTTATGAGTATTTGTTCTTATAATTCTATCTGGCTCCACTTAGGTTAAACAATTTGGCAGCTCAAATATTGGGGGGAATTCAATTCTTAAAGAATGCAAATTCCTCTTTATTATTGTTACCATAGTCAAAAGGAGTGAAAATTCCTCTCTCTTTTTTCCAGTATAGATAATGAAAGTTTATGTGGATTTATTTCGTGAAGGAAGAGTATTGTTGTAGCTCGGGTAGTGGAAGATTCAGTTTTTAAGTGTGCAATTTTTATCTTGCTTCTGCTTTTAGTTGTCACATGCAAGATCATAGGTTTTTGTGCTCGACCGTATACAATTTTACTATGTGTTTAACTGTGTGTGATGACATGTAGTAGAATTGTGGAGTCGCCGTTCCTATAGTAATGGAAGTTGTCAAAGTCTAACTTTATATCCAAATGAAAGAGGAAAAGAATTGCTATTTCTGGTTTGACATGAAAGCAGAGTATTGAATAAGCCAATGAATTTGCGAATGACTATGCTTGGTTGCATGCACCAAATGATTATTTTCTTGGATAATATATGTGTATTAACCATGATGTATCCATAAGTTTAAGTTTATTGTTAAAAAACTTAATGTGTTTTTTTCCGTGTTGTTTGTTTTTATTCAGATCTAAAGAAGTCTTAAATTCCAAAGTTTAATGTTAAAATGGAGATAGCTAATTCCTTTTCTTTTAAGGTGTTTTAGAAGTTATGCCTTGTGAGTTTCATCTACTCTATTATTCATTACTTTGAAAACACTTGATTATTGATTTGCACCTTTACTACATATTTGGGGGCAAAAAGAAACTGAGGAAATTTTTTCGCTTGCAATATCTTAAGTAGGAGGAACGGATTTTTAAAGAACAAACAAGGGAAGAATAGGAAAGAATCCACCAAAAAAAATCACAAATAATCCAAAATAGAAAGACAACTTCCAGGATATCACTAAAGGTTTTCTTGCACCGGATAAAATTGCTTGCAAATATAAAGATATTCATGAAGCAGAAGCATTCTCAGTAATAAGAGGCAATTGTACTTGTTTTTCTTTATTATATAAACTATTTTAGCATAATTGAGGGTTTGTATGTTTATTCAGAGCAGATCAACAGTGGGTTGAATAGAAACCTGTGAACTTAAGACTTAAATGTGTAGCCTAACTACATGTGGACTTTGCTATTAAAGGTTCTAAGATATTACAAGTCTTGTTTTGATTACCTGCTTTCTGAGATGACCAAGAAGGTACGTCATTGTTTTATTATTTAGTGGAAATACTTTAAACTATGATGTTTTTTATCTGGAGATTTATCTTATTGCACTTAATGTGGTAGGTAAGGTTAATCATCCTGACTCGGAGAGAATAACTATTCATGATAAATGGATAATTTCCAGTAAAAGTATCGTGGTAAGCTTCGTATACCTTCTTTTTCTTCATCTCATACAGTCTTTTATCAAGCACCCTGTACCATTACAGAGATTTTAGGACATTGTGTATGGTGAAGAACTTTGAACAGTTCTTATTTATACATGGATTGGTCAAATTAAGTTTGGCCATTTTCTTATGTACCTCCGGAAGGAGAGTATATTTATTATGAGATAAATTCGGAAGAAAGAATAATTTTTTTTAACAATTAATTAATTTAAAAAGAAAATCAAACATATAAATTTTTTCATCCTTTAATATTTTGATCTAACAATTCACAATATATATATAAATATATCAAATAAAATTAATTAAATAAGGAATACAATTTACACAAGTAATTCATGCTTTGAGTCCTAAACTACTCGGACTTTAGCATTAATAGTAGCTACGCACGGACTCTCGTCACCTCGCGCGTACGTAGCCCCCGCAATTATCAATAATTATTCAATTTAATCCTTATGGGGTAATTTTCCCCTCACAAGATTAGACAAGAGACTTACCTCGTCTCAAAGTCCACTATCCGATTATCGCGTCGCGTAAAATTCTCGATTCAATGCCGAAAAATCCGAAACTATCCAAAAGTTATATAAAATAATTAATATATGTTCAATAACTCGAAATTCATCTATTAATTAAATTACTCTATCCAAAATGGTAAAATTCTTAAAATTCACCTCGGAGCCACGTGCCCGAATTCTTGAAATTTTCGAATTAAAACGTTACCCATAATCTCAAGAACTCAAATATATAATTTTTATCCAATTCCATAATCATTTTCGTGGTTAAAATCTCATATTTATAAAAATCTAGGTTTTCATCTAAACCTTTGATTTCTAAGATTTACTAGTTATAATCTACTTATAATTTATGTATTTAACCCCTCTATGTATTTAACTCAAGGGGTGTAGAATAACTTACCTTCAAGTTGTTAGTTGAACTCCCTTATCAAAAGATCTGAAATCGCCCGAAAATAGAGGAAAAATAGGCTCAAAATGTGTGAGCCCCGACTTTTTAACCATTCTGCCCAGACAGGTTTTTCACACCTGCGGATGGTGTTCGCACCTGCGGCCTTTGCACCTACGGAAAAGCCTCGCAGGTGCGAGCTTAGCTTGGCTATCCAGTTTCCGCATTTGTGCCATTTTTCTCGCACCTGCGCGTTCGCAGGTGCACCCGAGATTCCGCACCTGCGATGGCAGGCTTCCCTTCCCTTTTTCGCTTCTGCGCATAAAACCTCGCATCTGCGAGAGTCGCACCTGCGGCTGTCCAGGCGCAGGTGCGAACGTACCAGAAGCAGAATGCTTCAGATCCTCTTCAAAATCCCAACATTGATCCGAGCCTCGTCCGGTTAACACTCGGGACCCCCGGGGCCCCGTCCGAACATACCAACAGGTTTGAAATCATAAAACGGACTCGCTCAAACTCTCGAAACGTGTAAAACAACATCAAATCTAAGAATCACACCCCAAACCAAATTGAATCAAACTTAAGAATTTCAAGTTCTTCAATTTACTTCCAATACGCCGAAACGTACTTAAACTATCCGGAATGACACGAAATTTTGCGTGCAAGTCTTAAATCATTATACGGAACTATTCCCAAATTCGGAATTCCAAACGGACTTCAATTCCTCAAAAACCTACTCCAAACCAAATTTAAAGAAGTTTAAACCTTCAAATAATTTATTTTCACTATTAAGCGCCAAAACGCTCCCGGGTGATCCAAAACCCGATTCGAACATACGCCCAAGTCCGAAATCATCATACGAACCTATTGGAACCGTCAAATTCCGATTCCGGGGTCCTTTTCTCAAAATGTTGACCGAAGTCAAACTTGGCCTTTTAAGGCTAACTTAAGGAACCAAGTGTTTCGATTTCAACCCACAACCATCAAGAATGGTAAAGGGCACTCAAAAGTAGCTCAGATATTCTGGTTGATGTATGTTGAAGCAGTCCATGCCATTTGGACGGAGAGAAACCAAAGGATATTTGAACAAGTCTACTACAGTCCTTCATGTTCTAGTTTATGGGGTCAAGTGCTATATGGTTATAATGGTTTTCTGCTACTCTATGCTTTCTTAGGGCCTTGTAATTACCTACTTAGAAGAAAGACATAGAGTTTGGGTACTTCTAGTAGATGGATTAGATAGCTGGATGAGTTTGTCTGGGCTATGACTATGTAAATATTCTCTTGCTGATTAATAAAGTTTCTAATTACCCAAAAAAAAAAAAGAGTTCCCCTATGTCTTGAGAATTTACGTCATATAAAAGGTCCATGAATCGAATATGCAAGAAATATGTGATCAATCTGAAGAAACTCAAGTAACTGTATACATAAGCAAAACTCAAGTAGGCAACACAAGTAGTATTCAGCGCTGCCAAGAAGAAGAATATGAAAAGATCCATGAATCAAGCCCGCGAACAATATGTTTGAAGCAACTAGAACTTGAAGCTTCCAATAAGAGGAATTGTTGGAAAGATTACCAGCTGACTCTCCCTAGGCAAGCTTTCTGTCACAGCCTTCCAACCGAAAAACACCAGGAGAACTGTATGCCACCTACCCCGACACCTAGCTCCCTGTACTGAAGATATAACAAATAACATGTTACCACACAGAAAGAAATTTACATTATTCTGTAGCTACTTCTAAATGATATTCTATTCTTGCTGAAAGACTCAATAATGTTTCCTGCAAAACATAATATAACGAGGCATACTAAGAAAATTCACAATCTTTCTCAAAAAATAGCAGAATTCTGACAACTTTTGAAACTTCAGATGCCAAGTCCTAAAATCAGACAGTCATTATTTCATCAATCAAAGCTCAAACATGTCAGTCATACATGTCCTTCTAAGCATGATCCCTTTATTAATGAAAGGCTCAAGTATGGAACTGTTCCGATAGACAACTAATCCATGTTCACACATGTCCAACCAGTCTGTCATTTGAAATGATCCTTTTTTCAACTGAATACTGCTCTTATGAGCTTTTTTATCATCCAAACATTTCCACTGTTTGCTTCAATATTAATTACAGCTTAAAGAGTTTTAATACTGAAACTTTAGGCAGACAGATAGTGCACAACCCCAAAAATCCATGTCGATTCCAATCAGTCTGAGAGTGCTTCTTTGACAGAACACAACTGACTACAGAAGTTGAGTGTTTGGTCTAAGCTTGTGAGTATCTTTATTTCAAAGTTAGTTGCTGTATCAATTGACTCAAGAAATCAAATTGAAATTACCACTTATGCTTTTTTCCTTGTCCTGTTCTAGATTTAATTGAGTTAAAATAGTTAGAAGGCCTGTCTACCACCAGCCCAGTTCCCTTCCCTTTCTTTCCTCTGCTTAGAAGAGCTGTTGGATTGCATACAGAGCCTCAAAACAGGGCTCAGAAACAGCTTCTATTTGACCCAAGATTCCAAGTCCTACTTTCTCTTCCTTGACTAGTCGTGACAATACCTCAAGTAATGTGTTCAGAATCAAGCCGTTTCAATCGTCAATCTCATTGCCAAATTCATTGGTGAAAAACTCCATTTGATGCAACAAACAAAGAGGAACCAAGAAAAACAGTGAAGAATTCTAGCCTAACAGTAGTAAAAAGAAATGGAGACTACAAGATTCCTGTTGAAGTGTAAACAGCTTTAGGGAGGAAGCTTAATCTAATAACCAATAAAGAAATTCAAAAGAACAGCTACAGTGAAGACCAAGGACCAGTAAAACATTGGAAACAATGTCAAAGCAGACAGTAGACTACACAATATAACATCATTTGCCATGAAAATACAAGAATATATCACGTTATGATCATAAGTTCATAACATCCAACCAAAGGCCACACAGCAAAAGCGCATACAAAAGCTTAAAATGACATGCCAATTCACATGCCAGTAGCACTTGGCATGTATAAACATGACATTTGCTCATATAATAAAACTGAATAGGCAGAGGTCACAATAACACCTGATAATGACCCCCCATTCATATGAGAAGCTCAAGGCAATCAGTCAAATCAGAGTAGTTGTCATTCATAAAGAAAAGCATAGAATTGCAATTTCAAGAACTAAAAAGATCTGTAATCAAAACTGCGGGTAGTCATAGCCCTTTTTCATTTATAACCATTCAATAACAAACTACAAAGTGTATTTTATATTACATAAAGCAAGTCTCACTCATTTCTTCTAATCCTTCAGGAAAACAAAAGCTCCATTTTTACATCTAAAACTCCTGGGATGCAGAGCCAATATCACCCTTTCCAGAGCCAGCTTTCTTAGGCAACAGATTCTGGTGAATGTTGGGCAAAACACCTCCATTGGCAATAGTAACATGACCCAAAAGCTTGCTCAGCTCCTCATCATTCCTCACAGCCAACTGAATGTGCCTTGGCACTATACGATTCTTCTTGTTGTCCCTTGCGGCATTCCCTGCCAACTCCAACACCTATTATCACCACAAACATTACAAAGTCGAATTCTATTAGCACTTAGATTAACATGTTCCAATAAAGTCAACAAAAAATTATCATTATTTAGAATTTAAACAACATTCCACTATATGTCAAAATCTCTTGCTTGCTTACTTGTATATTAAGAATTAGATTCTCTAATTCGCAGTGCAATAAATAAACTGGTAGTAACAGTAACTGATGGATTCAGAAGCCAACTAAAATCAAGGAATTTCACAAGTTCAAACGCAAGAAAAATGTTGACATCATCTCTCTGTCGTTTAAGATATTAAAAGGGGAACACTTAGGGTGCATGGATTGGAAAATAAATATTTGATTGATTTTAATCATTTTTTTGGGCAAAACTTGCACATAAAATAAATTATTTAGGAAAAATTACATTTTATGCAGTGTACAATTAATTAGAAAATTTGGAACTAATTAATTAATTAATAATATTTCCCAAATAAACTAAGCTAAATGAGATATCTTTAACATGCAGAAAGCTTGAACATAAACATAGATATATATACATATCAAAA